AACATCAAACCTCTTTCTCTCTTCGATCAAGAGTATCGTTTTGCTACTGCAATTACGCAAAATGATTGTCCAATGCCGAAAATAATGTAACATCCAACCGTGTTATCGACGTGCATTCGACATACAATCGAAATTATGATCGCATTCAGATTCGATTCCAAAACGATAGCCGAAATGGCAAATCGATTAGCACAAAGTCTCAACTGAATATCACAAGTGCAATACATACACCTATATCTATATGAGATTAAATAATTAATCAATATTCGACAAAGTTTTATGTCGCCGCGAGCAAGGCAACTCAGCATGTCTTTTATTAATTTCGATTGATTATAATATAGTGGTTTTATTTAATATTGTCTGCAATATAGACATCAAAACCCCTTTTTAAAAAAATGCACAATTGCTTTGGATACATTTGGTGAATGATTCAGTCTTTACATTGACCCCTGACTGCATTTGCCACAACATGAAAAACATACATGCGACAAGGTTCAAAACGACCATATGGTGGTTTTTAGTGTAAATTTGCGTGCACATTTACACCATTTACAGATCTTAAGTATGTTAAAACTGGGCACGACTTTTTCGCGGACTTAGTACTGAATATAAATGTTTGCATGCAACAAAAAAAAACCAAACACGAAAAAAACTTGTTCAACACACTCAGTTCATATCAGATTCGGGTTGAAACAAAAAAAAAAGCAGCGACTGAACTAAAGCTTCTCTGATACGGACATTGTCGCTTTTTCTATCGCCACAAATACAATCACAAAAAAGAAAAATTAAAATTTAAACAAAATGAACCTTTGAACATTTGATTATCATAACATCCTTATTGAATGGAAATCATTCAAGTATTTCGGCACGACATCTAAATCATTTACTATTGTTATAGAAAATGGAAATGACAAAGAGAACATAGTAACCACAAATTGATTGATGCAAAATCACACGGCGCATTTTGAATGAAATGCGGAACGTCTCTCGGCAAATCGACTTATTGTTGCTTTTGAAAAGCAATTCAATTTGCCCAAGTCAATTACCTTATGCACATGCTCACAAAATCTAATCGAATTGAATTGCAATAACAATTGTGAGCGCACCTTTTACGGAATTATTCACTGCATAAACAATATGGCAACAATAAAAAAAGGTAATCATTACATAATACACATATGAGTTCAAAATTGTCAGAAGACGAGACAAGCAATGATAATTGCCATCCTAGGGTGAAACTTACACATCATTTGCAACAAAATGAAGAACAAAACCACAAAAAAAAAGAATTGATAACAAATTAAAAGCAATATGTTTATTTGTATCATTTCATTCGTTCATCATTCAACCAAATGAACTTCCTCACAAACATCAAACGTCTTTGTTTTAATAAATTTGCATCAGATTTGTATTTATTTGTGTTGTTGGTTTACCGAACATAAAGAACTCGAATCACATACGAAAATTAACGGCAAAGTACTGTCCTGATTTCAGTTGGTATTGATTGCGACTGTGATTGTGGTCCATTTGCATATAATTAGCAATGAAAAGAGAAAGAGAAAAAAAGCACGCGCAGCAGAAATGTTGTATCGACTAGTGTCGGTCGGTTCAGAAAGCTAGTTGTACGTTTTGCAATGAAAGGAAAGCAAAAAACTATACTACAGAGAAAAGGAAGAATAGTCGATCTGTTGTATGGCTCGAGCCCGGAGATGAGTTGATGATTGTGTTAGGTATATGTGTGTGTATGTATAAAAGTGTAGTGTCGGAACACAAAAGAACATATACTGGTAAAATAAACACTTTTCAAAGATCAATTTTCTATCGTGTAACGTGTTGAGATTTTTTTTTTGCGCCCGTGTTGTTCATTTGATTGTTTGTTTAGTCACGAAGGCGCGAAAAACTATACAGACATATACCATGGGTCTTATGTGCGATATAAGACTGTTTTTCGCTTTCTCTTCTCATTCGCTCACTCTCTTGCTACGCTGGATCAATTGAAAAATCTCGTAAATACGCGGCAACATCTGAGCGGCATGTGTTCGCTTATTTGTTGACTCAATTTGAATAATCAGTTTTGTCGATTTAATAATAAAATGTACGGTGACTTTTGAAATGAATGCACGATATTTAGAAGTGATAGAATTCTGAGTACATATCCCATTGTACCATTCCATGTGTTCTAATGTAAAACAAAAGAGCTGAAGATATGCATTATTCGCCTTAAAAAAAAAAAAAAAAATCTCAACAAAAGCCAACGAGGCCAATGTGTTTTTCCATCACCAATAATAAGAGAAATTGTTGCTTTGGAATTGTTTTTCGTGTGTCATAGAAAAGGATTCGTGTGATTGTTGTTATTGTTTTCATTTTGTTCATATCGAATTAATATCGACTTTGTCATGATTTTGATCATAATCAAACGATCAACATTTTATTGTTATTATTTAATAAGTTGTCATTCATAATCGGTGATCGTTCAATCGTATGAGTCAGCATTCTAACCTTTGACGTGTGCCGCATTATTTTCAATTCTGTCATTTAAAATGTTCGTGCTCGCATTTCATCTCGTTCATCTTCCAATTTAAATCGAAAAACCATATTTGTTTTGAACATGATGTGTATGTTGATACATAACGATGTGAATTTGCATGTGCCGGCAATGAGGTCGCCAAATCGATGGCACGAATTATTTGAATCGAAATATTATGAAAATCACGTAGTGATCAACCTCTCAAAAGATTTATTGTCGCCATTTAAAACGCCACGACAACACGGTTAATCACTTTTTTTGGATTTGTTTTTATGTATGTGTATGTGTGTGGATACACACAATTATTCATAAGTCATCTCGGACCACGAGAGAAATAAAAGAGAGAATATAATAAAAAGAGAAATTCCACATTGGATTGCTCTCGGTGTATTTATTATAATGAAGGCGGTATCAGACGCACCTTACACGCAAAAAACACAAAACACCAAATGACGACACCAATACCGTGATGGCGTTAATTCTACATTTGCATCATTGATAAAAAAAATAACTAAATTCATTGAGAAGACCACTTTTATAAAATGAAAAATTAAATGCATGAACATCGTGATGACTTCCATTCCAATCAAAAGAAAAATGGGTATCACAAATGGTAAAACATCATCATTTGCTGATCTACACAGATATTGTGCGCTTGATACAACTTATAAGCATGCCAAAAATGACTTTACAATAAATATAGATCAAATAACAGCGCATAGCATGAACATATACACACAGTTCACAATATGGATACAATATATCGAACAGAACAAGAACGAGAATGTAACAGCTGAGGAAGCAAAAGTTTTATTGGTCGTTTTTCTGTTATTCGGCTATGAAAATCATCAAAACTGACTCTTTTTTTTCTGTCGTTAGTCCATTTGAACACCATTGCTCTTGACTTACACGAATACAGTGCTTGTGCCTGTGTGTGTGTGTGTTTGCTGATGTTGTCTTTTTGTTTGAACTGTTCACCGTACAGAGATACAGAGACAGTAAAAGTACCAACAACAACAACAACAACAGTCATATACAGATACAAGAGTATTAACACTGGCCGATAATATTAAAACAACCTTCCAAATAAGGATGGCACATGTTAAAAACGGACGCTATTACTACGTCACATATAATCCTTATCCATTTTTTACTTAGCACCGATTGCAATTTGCGTTGTAAACAAATCAATTTCATCATTTCAATTTTGCTGAGGGTGTTCCTTCTTAGCGAAAAATAGTCATAAGCTTGCATATGGTTTTACGCTTTTTTTTTATTGTCGTTGGCTTTTCACCATTCAATATATGTATTGATGCTCTATCCCGCATGTGTGAGTCGCACGTTAAGTCGCAACAGCGTTCGCAATGTGACACATGCGGCTCTCGTTGTTTACTCTTTCAAATAACATACCAATACCATACTACTGGTTGTGCGGTGCGCTGCGTTGCATTACTTGTTATTTCGACTTATTCATTGCTCGCTCTCTGCCTCTGTCTCTTTCGTTCAAGACTCCTTCATCGCTCGATCTGATCAATGCGAACACTTTTTATAACTTCATATCTGCATATTTTATTCAATGTTTCCAAATATCTTTCATTTTCGGTTTCTTTTTATTCAGTTTTTGTTCGCTGTCTAACGTTATTAATATGGCTGAACAAAAGACTTTACCAACAACGGAAAGTACAATATACAAATGCACGAGCGCATTACGAAGGTAGAACGATAGAAAATCGCTGTAAAGAACATCAATTCACACGATCTTTTTCTAAACGAATGTTGAAAAACGAACGCTTTTTGAACACATGCCGTCCCAATATCTCGATCGGTGTGACGATGACGATGTGTGATTTTACACATTGATATTTATTGGGCTCATTTATTAGCAGACACTACATTTGGACGAAGTCATTTTTTGTTTTAAGTTTTTCTGTATTTTTTGTTCTCTTTTTTTGTTGTCGTGAAACAATTAAAACCACCAGCATGGCCTATGTAACATGACAACCACCGCCTGACATGATAAGGTCATACCGAATTGAAAAGAAACAAGAGCAAAACATTTTTCATTTGATTGAATATTTTTCTGACATTCAATGATTTTCTAATAGACTGATTCAATGTTGATTATGTTTCGTTCAAAAATCCGTTCAGTTGTAGATTGAAATACGATATTTTTGCACTTCAGCCTGTATCACTTGTTCAGAATCAGTGCCAATGTCGCAATTTCGTACATATGAGTCTTTTGCATTAAGTCTTAAATGAGCAAAATATTCGGTTACATTTATAAACACTCATTCGGCTAACTGAACATTTTAGTCGATAAATAGTTTTAAGAATTTCGCTTGAACAACACAAGACAAGCGACAATTGCACAATTCATTCTTATTTTTTGTACATTTTCAATAAATAAATGTCACATAATTATAATATGTATATAATAAACCAATTTCGATGAATATTTTCTTCTCACTTTCAGACATTAAAAAAATGTATATATTACATCAGCAGCAGGCCAATTTTCGATACTGGAGTTGAGTAAGTACAAGAATTGATGAGTTTTAAACAATTAAAAAAGCGATTTGTTTGGATGGACACACAGCAATTACCACTCAAATTAAAATGATGGAATGTGCTTATGTTAATAATATAAACAAAAGCACTCAATAAAATTTAATAAACTCAACTGAACACACTTCCATAAAAAAATGGTGAAAAATTGATTTCAAATAATAAAATCGATCAAAAATGGCAATTTTCTTGTCAAAAATTTATCAATATTGATGTAATTTGTCTGAGTTGTTTATGTTTGTCACTCTGCTTTCAAAAGAATGAGATCACTACCATTTTCAGATGGTTAATCACACGGCAATTATTCAGGAAGAAAGAAACCATATTGCACAAGACACAAGACACGTGAATATAAAAGTATTTTAATTACGAAAAATGATCGTTAACAAACCAAATATGGAGTTATACTCCAATTTCCGTTGCATGGATGCTGGCATTTTTAAGAGTTCATTTCGATCAGTGGTTTCAGTTACTTTCTAAATTAATTTCATAAATGCCCAATATGCACCAAAAATGTATACATATATACACATAAATGCTCGTATGTGTTACGGTCCATTGGCATACCATCACGTTTTCATCGGCCGCAAAAAGTCGAATGAAAAATTATCATTTGGTTGTATGAGATTGTGTGATATAGTAATCGATGGCCCGATTTATTTCCCAAAAACGAGTAAAAATATTTCGCGATGGTGCATTCGTTTTGGTTTTTGGCAAAATACGTACACGAACTATCGCTGTGAAATCAATCCTTTTTTCGCTCAAATTTTGACGGCACGTTCCAAACGAAAACCATATGTACCAGGCAAAACACGTGACAATGGCCACATTTTCGAAACCAATATTGATATCAACCGAAACAAAAAAAAAGACTAGAGAATCATTTCATTAATGCAAGGGAATACAACAAACAATAGAACCGTAAATAGAAAGTTTTTGAATCGAAAAATGGTCAAGAATACGCGTGAAATCCATCGAGAATATCTTTCAGCAAATGATAAAAACAAACTGTCAAAATGTGACGGGCATAAATTGACAAATTCAACTTTGAATCAAACTATGTTCACTTCCTTAAACTCATTCGTCTTTCGCATACTGACGGTACCTGACTGATTTTCCGTGTACAATTGCATTCAATGGAAAAATTCACGATGATTTAAGAATACCGCTCGTACTGTGGCATTACTTTTAAAATAGCAATGGACACACACAAGTCCACATGTTACAACAACGTTGTCTGATTTATTGAATGATGGAAGAAAAAAAAGAGAGAGAAAAAAAACACACGCATTTTATTTATCATTGCGATTTGTCGACCTTTTTCGCAGCCATAAGCCATTTTTCAAATAAAAGTAATCGCATTCACTTTGACAATGTTCTTAATTTCGACGACATATCGCATTGAACATCGTATTCTGTATCTGCGTCACAAATACTCAAGACGAAATATATACGCTTGCTTACACAATTTACGCAAAAATGTGCGGTGCACACGGTGTGTTTGTTTCTCTCTTTTTTTCGGTTCGTTCACGGCAATTTTGTGGAAAAAAAATGTTTGGTTGTTTTGAAAATCCTGCCGTTTAGATTCTGAATGCCCATGCAGAAGCAGCAATTGAATGGAATGTATCAAAGTGACTGTGTACTTGTGATCGACTTTGATATTTCGCAGACATTGGCATTTTTCTTTGATTCGTTTTAAAGTTTTTCTCTCAACGACTCTCTTTTGTTTGTCATTTATCAAATCGAAATGCGCACATTTGTATTGTATGCCAAAAATTCACATCTTCACTCCCACCAAGAGTTGCAGAGTGAAACATTGCCGAACGGAATCGGTTTTACTGATTTATTCATTTATTTTTCACATTTCCATGGAATACTTCTATTCACCAGAGACCACAAACTTTGTAAACTTTGAAGACCATTTAAGTGAACATCTTCAAGTGACTGAATTAATGGGCCAGAAATTAACTTGAAGAAATTAAACAAAATTTCAGCGAAACATTCATTGAATAACTCATTATTTAAGATCTCTCTTGATAATGTTCACGCGAAAATTACTCCAGAAAGAGACATTTGGTTAATTTTTCCAACCATAAAACCCAACTCAATTTTTCAACATAGTCAATTAGTAACATTCGAAACGAAGAGAATATCCTTTGCATTGTTCACTAAAAATTGTTTCTTTGAAATCTCGTTGGCATTATCATTCGAATTCGGAAGTAGAAGTTTGAGTGTTTCACATACTAGCGATGAGAAGAACAATACATTGATATTTCCAAAAGACGGATTTTGACAAGAAATAAGACAACAAAACACAAAGGAATACATGAAGCTGATCTTACGCTTAAATTAATAATGAGTCCCTTTTTTCTCATTCTATTCAACTTTCTATCGTTTGGCACGTTATTATGTTTTTGCGTATGCTTGTGTAAATTCATAACAGCTTTGGGAATTAGTCAAGCCGCCGACTCAAGTGGAAAATCGTACATCTTTTATTCGCCTAGGTAAGTTTAACGATAAGACCTTTGTATTGATGCAGTTGGATGGGCAAAAATATTGCATCGCAGACATTTCTTTATGGTGACATCGAAAAATTGGTGATAATAAAATCCCGTTCATATTTAAGTGATATTATTTCAATGTACAGCCAGACATCGAAATATTGATTCAAAAATCGATCTTCGGATTGTGTACAATTTAATTACACTACAAAATAATGATAATAAAAAAAACAGCATCCCAGATGTTAATTTAAAGACAAACAATAAATGAATCTTAAGCGAAAATTACGTAAATAAAATGTCGTTTCATTTTCTAATGTTCCTAACTGTAAGTATGTTTTTTTTTTTTTTTTTTATTTCACTTATAGATACAAAGTAGCAACAAATAAATTAAACTTAATCTATTTTAAATAAACAAAAAAGTTAAAAAACTAAAATAAAATTGAAGTAAATGCTTGTTTTTATTGTTGTTGCTAGTGTCTTTTTTTCTGTTTTCATTCGTTGAATATAACTTGATAAGTATTGACTAGAAGCGTACACTGACGAAGGGGAAAAACGTAAGTCTTGGATCATGAAATTAATCGTTCAATGTGAGTTTTATCAATCAATAAAATCACTATGAGAATTTCATCAAATTGTAATGTGAAAAATAAGAGAAAAAAGGAAGGAACAGTCGATATCGCGAGAGAAAGAGAAAGAGAGAGATAGAGAGAGTGAGCAAATATGGAGGTGTTCTGTTATGAGAGTTCCATTTTTGGACTTTTGCTCAATACATTGATTTACTTTGATTGATTCTGAATAAGAGAAATGTTGTTTATCAATGAATTAGATAAACAGTGTCTACGAGTTGTGAGTTCATTCATTGAGGTAAGTGGCATGGTGGTGCTGGTGTGGCATTCGTTCAATTCATTTTTTCATCTCCTCTTAAACATTTCTATTTAGGTCTTCGAATATCGTATTCTAAGTTCCGTGTTTGAGTTGGTGGCTAGGTTGCTGGTGTGCAACCATAAGATCGCGTCATTGAATTTATTTGTTGGTGCATTTTAGCTTCTCTTCTATAGAATAATCGAATAATCATCAATCGCACACACATACACACGCATAGTGTCTAATTATGAATTCAACACAAATCGCTAAATGACTACCATACCATATTCGGTATCGTTCTTGCTAATTATTAATATTGTTGAACACACAAATAAAATCAGTCTTGTCTCATGGGCTATTTCACTTGTTTGTGCTTGTGCATGTGCCCGTGCACGAGTATGTGTAAGAGTTGGAAAATGAACAAACGCTTTTTTTTTTCATTTTCTTCATTCTTCGAAGCAATTCCATTTCTTTTGTGTTTTATATCACACTCGTACAGTTATTGAAATTCTGTTACTTCTGTCTGCCGTTTGCACCTTCTGTTTTTCTATTGCAATCGGTGCAATCAATTCATTTATCATCATCATTACCACCATCACTTGGTTTGGACTCATAGAGGTGTGACGAGCTTTTGTTCTATTCATGTTTAAATTTTTTTTTCTTCGTTGATTGCGATTTTGCAATTCTTTCCCACAATAATGACATTTTTTTTCATCATTTGACGAGTTTTTCACCGTGTAACACAAACGGAATATACCACCGCAACAATCGCATTTGTGTGAACTAATTTTAATTGATAAAAACATGATTAGAACAGTTATTATCAGTTAAATGTGAGTAAATTAGCAAACTGTTTTGTTACTGAACTTCATCTCTTCCTCGTTCACTTGATTGGCAACAAAATGGGCTGATGAAAAAGAAGAATAACAACATTCGTGAATAGAATATCTAGTCATTGGGTTTAAATGAATGAATTCTACCGCAGAGAGAGTTCATTGAGACTTGTAACACGGATAAAATCGTTCGTGGACGAGATAAACGGGGACATGAAACAAGAAGAGATGAGTCAATCAGCCCACGCCTCTATGTGGTTGATTTGTGTGTGTGTGTGTGTATGTGTTTTTTTATTATTAATTAAAATGCGGCACTCAAATCAGATGAAGCTGTGCTGACTTTCGTCATGAATGGTTTTTATTTAATTTTAATGTCAGATAGTTCAGCCCTAGCATCGGATAAACAAAACTCTTTTCCAAATAGTTGAGAAATCAATTTTATTGAAACGAAAATATATTTAAATCTCTATTGGATGCTATCGTTTTAGACTGAGCAAAGAATCTGAAAAAAAATGCCCAAAATATTTTCATCATTTCGGCGTTTAAAATGTGTGTTTGATCAAAACCGTTATAGACAAATGGAATATATGAACCTTTCAAATTTGCGTGCAATTCAATGGAAAAGGAGAATAAAAAGCAACAAAATCCCGCGGCAACTTGTGAAAAATAGACTACTCTTTTTCTCTCTGTGAACACCCACTCTAATTGGCACGCACATGCTAATTCATTGCTGCGCTATGTGTCGAGTATATTGTAAGCGATGAAATGAACAACATCACCAACAACAATGGCACTTCTGCCAACGACAATAAGTAATCGAGCCACCGTCGAATGGAAAGCTTCCTGGAGTAAGAAAAAAAAACATGCACTTTGATGTTGATTGGTAGGAAATAAAAAAAGTACACTTAAACTCTCTTTCTCTCTCTATCTATCTCTCTTTTCCTCTCCGTTCGTTTCAATGCTGTAGAATTTGCTGAAAAAATAATAGTACACGACAATTGCTTTTAGACAAATAAAACCAGAGCACATCTTTACCAATTTGTAATTTTCTATGGAATTCGATTCATACATATTTTTCTTTCATTTGTTTGGTTTGTTACATACTTAATGGAATTCGATGGATTGTGGATAAATACCTATGCTCTATTCATACGATATAAATATATCTATATATATAAAAAAACATATGTATCTTTTATTTTATTTTTATTTTTTTTTGAGTGCGAACTTTATGTGTGCTGTGCACAATTGGAGTTGGCTTTGCTATATATTCACAATTACATTTCAATTCGATTTGTTTCGTATGTCGAATGACAAACGTCGGTTTTCTATCTACTTCATGTGATCACTTCACTTTGCTAGGTTATTGTCCCTTTTTGTTCTCTTTTGCCTAATATCTATATGTTCTTATTGAATGCATTTGGTTTTCAGTATCAAATGTGCACTTGTTCGACAACTTAATTCGATGTGCGATGTCAATCGCTACTTAACGACTAAAAACAAATTAAGAACGTTTGAGTATATGTTTTGTTTAAAGGCATCGCTTCTAATTAATTGTATATAAAATTGATTAAGAGAGTGTGTGTTTTTTTTTGTTTTTTTTTTTTTGTTCTGTATTAATTGCTTTATTGAACCACTTATAAATTAAAACGAATTTTGTCTTAACTCTATCATTAGAGAGTAATTGCATGCAAAATAGAAAATGCATTCTTATGCGCACGCTCGGTTGAACTTTCCGAAAATTTCGTCAGCACTCTCACAGACACGGGGTTGCTTAATTCGTGATAGTTTTACAGTTTACAGTTAGCTTTATTCGTAAATCATATTCACGTTGATGAATCAAATTGTGTTCGATGTTTGTGGGTGGGGGATATAGTCAATATCCAAAATGAAATGTGATATTCCATGATGTCGTTGCTCTGTTGCTTTGCAGCAGCAACGAGTGTTATGTTTTCTTCTTCTGATCTTATGATTTCACTGGCACTTGTATACATTTCAATTTTTATTCGTTGCTTCGTTTAGTCCTTAAAAACTATTTAAATCTAATAAATAACTCTATTTACGATTCATTCTCTTTTCTGTTATTATGCTCATTAAATGTTTGCATCTTTTTTTCTCACATATATGTATACTATATTTATTGAAATTAGTTTTTGATAATTGTGAAAGACAAGCTCTCGTTTTCTTAAAACATATTTCGTCGCCGTGAGCATTGGAAAAAATTAATAATAATCAAATAATATGTTTAAAAGACAATGGCGCTCCGTTTTACGGGACCATTTTTTAGCGATTGTTAGCGCAAATACAAATGCATATTGCTTCTGTTCGTTGTTCTTCATGCAAAAGCAATAATATAACAAGAATTTATAATCTAGTCATTGATTCTAAGCAATGTATCATAGTTTTGTGTGTGTTTTTTTTTCGTTTCAAAGGATTATTGTAATAAAAAAAATTGATTTCATTTGTTGGGACAAAAAAATAAATAAATAAATAAACAATAATTCATAAAGAAACACGTGTGAATTTTTGAATATTCATTAGCTACGATAATTGTTTTCGATGTTGCATCAAATTTCGGAGAATCAATTGAACAAACAAAAAATAATAATAATATAATTGATAATAATAAGCACTACTAAAAGCACAAAACGAACTAAAACCAAACTATATCATAGATATATAAATCAAAAGGAAAACAAATGTTGCATCTAATGTTGCATCTAATGATTAAGTTTGACAAATTTTAATGAGCTAAGCACACATTTCATAGCCATACAGTGTATTGGAACAGCTTACAATCACTCAACAAATGATAATAGTTGAACATTTGTCGACTTTTATTGCATTTGCTTATGGTGTATACAACCAGTGCTGAGTACAGATGTTCGGTTGTTTTTCTCAATATTTACACGCATTCGTAAATTTCATTTTTATTCTCATTTGTTTTTAGCATTAAATATCTAAATTTATGGAATTTAACGTAAGTATTTATAAAAAAAAATTATTGAAGTCAGTAAATCACGCGACCCGTAAAATCTTGCAAACGATTACAATTTCTTGAGAGATTCGTTATTGTTCCATTTCTGTATATTCTATAATTTTCTAAAGATAAAATGGACATTCTCATTTTGGAATCGCCACACGCATTACACATTATTTTGGTTTTTAAGTCATTTTTGTCATTCGGAATTGAGTTTTTCTTTATGGAATATTTCGATTTTTTTTTTGTTGTTGTTTGGATAATGCCACATGCTGCAAATGTCATGCTTTCAGCATGACCACAAATAACATAATTAAAATTGAATAAATAAACCAAAAGAAAGAAAAAAAACGCATTGGAAAAGATAAGAAGATGAATTGGACGATGAGAAGAGGAATCCATAAGGAAGAATTGCGGTAAAATGGTCCGCAACAGCGATAGAAAGAGAGATGATAGCCTCCACATCGCGATAAATCTACGGAATGTTTTTTTTTTGTTTCTTTTTCGTTTGTTCGTTTGTTATTTGTGTGTTGTTGTCTTTTTGTGCAAAGCGCGGAAAAGTTAAACAAAGTCTATTGCAAACCAAAAGGATTTATGACATGAAATCGAGCACATCGTTTGTCGATATGTGTTCAGTTTTTAAATGCGGAATGTGGATGTGGATGCGATACGTGATGTGTGTGACCAGCATGTGGTGGCCCATAACTTTGTGTATGGGATAATGGTGATGCTTGACCACCGGTTGCGTAATTTGGTTGCATTAGACTTTGATCGATGCCGTAGTGCGTTGGCTGTGGGTGACCCAAATGAGCATGTCCGTGGTGATGACCATGACTATAAATTAATTGTCTTACTTTTGAATCGTCGTCGCCGATATTGTAGCTGAGTTCGGTCTCTTCAAATCCAGTTGCTGACATACGTTGATCGCCTGTCAATGCACCGCTCGGCGGATCCGGTGAATTTAAGCAAGTCTGTATCAATTGTTTACCGGCCTCGGATGTGATCATTGGCTGCAACTTACGCGTTGCAAACGTATACACATGACCAGTTTCCGATGCAACTAGCAACATAACCTGTGTACCAGTCAATGTGGACAGCTCATACGCCTGCAAATGAATAAGAAATGACAGAGAACAAAAAAAAAATTAAGACAAAATAAATTAACATCATTTCATTATAAAAACATAAACAATTGTATTCCAATACACCTTAACAACAACAATAAAATATTTACAAAACATTCTAACATTGACATTGTTCAAGGACATTCAACTTTTTTTTTCTCTCCTTCTTGATTTGCGCCGATTTTAAATGTCTTGGATGAATTGTGCTTCCGCCTCTTTGTCGTTGTGCGTAAAACCGAGAGCGTTCAATCGGACGATTTTATCGTGTCTATGCAAATTTCATTGTGATTTTATTTGCAAAACACTTCCATTCCACCCACATGGATTATGAAGAGCGTTGTTTTTTTCGTTGTCATATTTCTTCCAGCAATGTTATAGCAAAGTGTTTTTGTGGCATTTTATCGCCGCTTGAATTTTTCAACATTGAACAAAACTACTTGTACTGCTTTGCACTTGAATTAGAGACTTAATTATATGCTGAAATATGACTGCATTTCAAAATAAATGCCACAAATTAATCATTTTTCATTTTTGCATCATTCGTACGTACAGTTTTTAGTTTTATAACAGAAACATCAGCGTTTCGGAAGTTTAATGTATTTATGAGTTGAAAAAAAATATGTTTCCGAATGATTAAAGTGAACCGTATAAATTCAACGATGATGAAAGATGTTGAATGTACATTTCAGACATTAGATATAGTTTGAAATCGATCGTTTTGTGTGGTTGATGATGATTTTTTTTTTTTGGTGAAAGCTTTTGGGTGGTTCAATTTCTTGTATTTCGGCTTTCATTTGTTTAATACGTGCATCTGGCTCTCTTTTATTTTCGGACGCCTACAATGATGACACAAACCAAAACGACTACACATTTAACCCAAAATATAAGTTATGGATGGTGTTTTATGTATGTCTTCATTGGTGTACAATGCCACACGAGAGATACGTGTGTGCCTGCAAATATTATGCGCAACGAAAATCAATCGAACGAACGACCATCTGGACAGATGAATCGTTCAAAAACCATTTCACAAATGAAGTATGTAAGCGTAGGGAAAAAAACTGTTTTAATAAATATCAAATACATAACGATCAGAATGAAGCAGCATATTGACCGGAATATCAAAAATTGACATCTCACGTAAACGATGCGCTGTCGCTTTGATAAAATCTGAACATTTGCTTAAAACAAAGAAAAAAACGAAAAAAATCTCTCTCTCACGAGAGAAAATCGAGTTTTCCATTGTACAATCGCATATTGATTTTATTTCAATTTTTCATCGAGTCACATTTTGATTAATATCTCATCATAATGGCCTGTCCTCGGTTTTTTCTATGCAGCGTCCCAAGAGGCGATTTTATTTTCGTTTTTTGAGTGGCAGTGAAACAAACGAACGCAAAAGAATGTGTTTACCAAAAGGAACTAATTAATACCATATTGAATATGTAACTGAAGCTTTCAGTTGAACAATGAACTTGATCCAGCAACATAATACTAGTGATCAATATTATGATTAGTAGTTTACCGTAAATGAAATTTCGATCGTATTGAACTGAATGAAAAATAAAGAAAGAGTGAAGCCAATACACAAACTGTGCATCGTTTGCTTCGTATTAGATATGTGAGGCGGTTTTGTGATGCGCCCAATAATAAATATATGAGTTTGATCTTGTGTCGGCTTAATATGGTGCGTGGGAATATTGTTATGCTACAAAACGGCCGCCAAACGGCAAAGTCAATATAATAAGGCCTAGTAGTCAATTGTATTCACCATTGTTGATGATATTTTGTTCACTTTGTGAGATCAAAATTGTGGTGTATCTGCATGTATGTGTGTGTGTATAACTGAGTCTTAGGTATTTCATTTCGTATGTGATTTTTTTCTTCCGTTGATTTTGCTGGTTCTTGGTTGAAAGTTGAAACCGTTTCATTTCATTTATTCCGCATTCGTTCAGCTTCTCCTTAAGATTGTTGCTTGCGCTTTTCGAATCATTTTCATTGTTGTGGCTATTTTACGTTGGGCATTGTAGAAATTGTTAAAAAAAAGACAAAAATTAAAGGCGCTCGCCGTTCTGCGTGTTATTTCTCTGTTGCCGCTAAAATGATGTAGGCAGAGGCGCATACACATTGTATTAGCAAGAAGCAACAGTACCAGCAATCAGCAGGTAGGTTCTGTGTGTTGTTGCTATTCGTTTGATGCTTTTTTTTTCTCCTTTCATTTCATTTCATTTAGTGTTTTGGTTGTCTTTTTGTTTTGTTCGAACGAATTAACTAATATTAATATAAATGTATATACTGATTTTTTTCTGTTCCATATATACAGCGCGGAACTATGAAAGCAATCAAATCTCTTGTTATTTGAATCGACGTGTCACATCGACCATATGTAGATGATATTACTTTGAGATTTTGTTGTCGATTTTTTTGTTGCTGTTGTACTTTCGTTAAATCAACGATTTATTTTATTTATTAATTAAAATAAATTGAGCATGTGGTTTTGATTGTGGGCGCCTCGCATAACATACACTGGCCAACAAAACAACGTGTATAAATTGTCAAAATCAACGAAACGGTCGTATTCTATGTGTATTTCAATCTTGTGACTGCCAATGAAATATTTATTAGAGTTGAATTATTGCAAGCGGAAGAATTGATTTTTCATTCAATCATTCACTTTGGTACGTACCAACGTTTCGTAAGTAGTGTTTGCTTTTTTCTTTTTAAATATATTGTGGTTCAGTCCATCAGTCAGGGTTAATTCGGAGTTCTCCAAAGTACCGTGTCAAAGAGATTCACTATCACGTTTGCCATGTTCAATATAATTTCAAACGATTATTTTAACGAAATTCTTTTGCTCATTTTATCGTTTTTGTTCATTATCTCTGGTCTTGTGGTATTCAACAAACAAAAACACACATTCCGATAGTGTAGAATCGTTGCCGTTGCCGTTGACGTGAAATGCATGTGCATACACAATGGACGATATATACATATAAAACATGATAGTGCCACAATGACAATGTTCGATTTAATGATCACTAAAATGTGAACAATTTTGTTTTGTTGATTTTATTAAAGCGATACAATTTTCATTTTGTCCATTCGCCGCATAAAATGCACGCGCTAAAATGTTCACGCTCAGTATCCCAAGAATTATGCCGTATGTCTGGAATGTTTTCAGTTTATTTCAATTATGTGACGGTTATGTTTATTTTGAGTTAAGTGTGTGTGTGTGTGTGTGTTTGTGTCTGCACAGCAACCAAATGGATCACATTCTGTACTCATGTATCGCTGTGCCATTTGACCATTCTCTCATTGCACTTTGACGATGTTAAATGATATGAACATATGACCAAAAGATCAACGCGTAACAGACATTTCCGAATGCAAATATCACTTCTGATATTTAGAGCACATGAAGAAGAATGATTATAAAGTTTTCATTTATCGTCAATTCCTTTTTTCACGTATTTTAACAGAAAGTTCAGATCATGTTATACGTTTTGCATGTGTTTGAATCGCACCGATTCTTTTTTCTTCTTCGCCCTTTCGCTGCTCAATAATATTCGGCACGTGCTTCAACTTTTTCAAATAGTTTACATTCGTTTGGTTCCCAAATGCCTTTTTGACGAAAAAAAAAAACAAACTTCGCTGAAAGTTCAATTATTCAAATATACTTGAGGCACAAACAACGAAAAAAAAGAGAGGAATTTTAAAATCCAATTAAAAGTAGCCAAAAAAATAATTGTGTGTTCTATCGTCGAATGAAGATTGTCATTTGTTCTGTTGTCGTCAACATGGGGAATGGGCAAAAAAACCTTAATCATGTCTATTGACGTGGCTCTCTTATAAGCAAACACAACTATTTTATTTTTCTATCGAAATTGAAAGAACGCTTACATTTTGATTTCGAACATAAGGAAATGTGGCAATGGTGTTGTCTTGCATCAAGTTTACATTATCAATATTCCGGATTTGATGTCGAATGTTAAATGAAACGTTTTAAGTAGCAAACAAAAATCGTTGAACAGTTGTTTCCATGCAATACAATATATTCGATTTTGCAAAATGTTTCGATATGTATATGCACGACATGGTGTCCATCATTCGATTTCTCGAAATCAAGAAATCGAATTTCATGTACTCAAATAATTGAACTACTAACGAGTCAACCGTTTGATATGGAGGTAAGTAGAAAATAAAACAGTTTATCTCAATGGAAATGCACTTGATGTACGCATCAACCGCAAATCATGCGGCCGAGAGAGAGTATATGTGATTCGTTTTGGTTTGTCACATCATTTCTTGCCGTGTCGGCGGTTTTTCTCTTTCCTTCTTTCTATCTTATGATTTGCTTTAAATCATTATCCAGATACGTTGGAATTTTTTACGTTTTTTTTTTTTGTTCCTGTTTCAGCTACTATTTCGATGGATTGGCCGTATAAATCGTAAGCCGTACTAAGCTTTAAAAAAACCATATTTCGTCTTGCATGAGGACGAAATCGAATGAAAACCACATGTTGAAGAAAAGAAAAGAGTTGATCGGTAAAATGCGGCAAACCACCATGGATTGGTACACACGGTGATATATAATTTTCGCATGAGTTAAATCACTGCACGGTAAAAAAAAAAGATCGAACAACGATCGCTGAACAGCAATTGATTTTGGTTGTTTGCGCACTTGGGGATTTTGAGAGTGCGCAAGCGTGTGTTGTATCACACGTTGAGACTGTGTGTGCTAACGTGCGTTCTCTTTCTCTCTTTCACATTCACCAATACTCATACCGACAACCGAAACCGGGGCCTCGTACGTTCACATAATATAAATAACACGGTCTGTGTATCGATCACACTATACGACTAAAGGAATGCACCACATGTTACGCGAAATACCAAATACACGCAATTGCATGCAGTGGATCGCATCGAAAATAATCAATTATTGAAATTCATTGAAAAATCATTAAAATCGCCTAATCGCC